CGTTGATAGGTGTAGAGAAGTCTGGGGTATCAAGTTGTTGTTTCTTAGTTGCTCTTTCATTTGTTGGCGAACCAGAATGACCGTGTTGAGCTTCTTTGCTCAGGTTATTGTTAAAACTTTTTGGTGTTTTTCGTTGCTGAGGTATGGTCGGGCGGATTAGCAGAAAGAGTTTTTTTAAACCGTATTTGTTACTATTTAACATATAGTTGTAAATTTTTTAAAATAAGTATAAAATCAGATTGGAAACCGATTTATGTAATTCTACCTAATAATTATGATTATGCTATTAACCAATTCATACCCGATTGTAGTATCTACTGATTTTTATCTATTAATTGCTGATCAAAAAATAGTGACCAATCAGGAAGGTACCTGATTTATCAGTGTTCGATCTGTGAAATCTATTTACATCTATACTCTGAATGATATATTTTCGCATCTCTTCAATGTGTATTTTAGCCCTAATTCAAACTTGCGTAAGAAGACGCTGATAATTCCTGTAAAGCATCTGGACTATAAGAGGGTCTTGCATCTTAAAAAGACTTGCTCTATATCCATTGACTAAGTACTGTTAGATATAGACATGAAATCTTATAAGAATGACGCTATCAAGAGGCAAATATCTAGTACTATAAATGGCATGATCCCTGTTAGAAGAAAGATTCTGTTGGAAATCTAAGGCTAAAGAACTTAAAGTCTTTTAACTTGAAGGCTATGTTGCAGAAAAATGCTTTTATCATTACAGAGATGCTTCTTTCAATACTACCATTATTAATATGGCCCAGGCATTTCCAGGTATTCAAAAGTTTCCGTATTTTACGGGTATAAGACAATTTGAAAATTGCCATAGTGATGGGTAGAATTAGCCAGATATGTAGGAGTATGACTTGCTTTTCTAATGAGGCGTTTGTTTCCTTCAGAAGATCGTTAGCTTTTACTATACATTTTTGAAGATGGTCAGAAAGCTGAACCCCAATACCTTATTCCAGTTATGTCTACGACAGTTTTAGAATCTTTCAAGATTGTAAGTGAAGGCTGGAATTATCAAAACTTTGATCAAGATATGCAGAATGTATTTGCAATAATACAGGCATACTTATCTGGGGATAATGAAATCCTATTGATTTCTGAGAAATACAACAGCATGCGAATATTTCTTTGCAGACTTTAGCCCAAATAAGTAGCTTAGCCAAGAAATGGGAGCTTCGATCCTCATGCTAAGACTTTTTAGGAGAAATTTGTTATCATGATAATAAGTAGTATAGCTTTAGTCTTTATTTCTGAGATTAAGAAAAGAATCTAGTAGTAATATCTGAACTGCCCTTAGGTATGTTAACACAAAAATTTATTGAAATGTTTCCTATAAAAACTAAGAAAAAAATGAAAAGTTGGCTCTGATAGAGAACATTGATGATGTAAGTACTTCCTAACATATCTACTAGTGAATTAAACTCGTCAAGGAGGTGTTTAATATTATCTTTGCAAACTATAATAATGAGTAGATCGATCAAATTGAAGACTTCTTTTCTGAAAAGTTATCTTTACTATATCATTTGAATTATTACGGTACAAGGGGTGGTATGCTCAAATTTGAAAAGCTATCTGGCTGTTCTGCTATATTGGACACCCATCTGCAGACGCTTATATCATGCCTGACTTATATAGGAAAAAATCCTTACAGAATTGCAGATATTTGAGGAAAAATAAATCATTAGATATAGAGCTCCAAATAGGTCAGGTTGGATCAGACATAAATTGACCTGAATTAAATATACATCTGATTAACCTGACCTGTCTAAAAAAGGAAACTAAATAATTATTAATTTTGTTTAATATTTTTTTAAAAAAAATATAAAAAAATATTGATAGATTTTTACATTGATTATTTTTTAAAAAAAAAGATACAAATATAATTAATTATTTTAACTGCAGAATTTAAAATTACAATTTGTGATAAATCTGCAAATCAGATGACTGCTAATATAATTAGAAAAACATTCATAACTTTACAACCATTAATCCAATCATAATAAAAATTTATATGTACATATTTTCAGACCTACTGAGAAACTTCACTTGTGTGACAAAAGTTGATTTCCTTTGACCAAAGTACTCAAATATCTCTTTGCTCTTTGAAGTTACTATATAGATAAAATAAAAATAAAAAATTTGTGAGATAATACAATTACGAAAACGTGCATAACTTTACAACCATTAATTCAATTATAATAAATATTTATATTCACATATTTGTAAACCCACTTGAGCACTTTACTTATGTGACTAAAAGTTGAATTCCTTTAACAAAAATACATAAATTGCTCTTTGAAGTTACTATAAGGATAAAAAATAAAAATAAAAAATTTTTGAGATAATACAATTACGAAAAATGTGCTGCATAGTTTTACAACCATTAATCAAATCGTAATAAAATTCTTATATGCATATATTTTCGAACCCGCTGAACAACTTTACTTATACAATAAAAGTTGATTTCCTTTGACCAAAAGGCTTAAATTACCCATTGGATTCATTAAATAAATGAATAAATAAAAATATTTTGTGAAATAATACAATCACGAAAAACATTTATACTTTACAACTAGTATTCCACAAAAAATCTGATTCAATCTGAATCTGATCCGGATCCGATGGATCGGATTGAATCAGATTTATCAGATTCGAATCAGATTTAGATTCGGATTTTGATTTGATTTGATCTGTCGGATCCAGATCAGATTAGATTTGGATTTGATTCAATCTGACAGATTCGGATTTGGATTCAGATCCAATTTGTTGGATTTGTAATAAAAAATGCTGCCCTGAAGTTAGATATGGCATTTATTATTAAAAAAATTTAATTTTTAATAATAAAATGCTGCCCGAAAGTTGGACGCAGCATTTATTATTAAAAAATTTAATTTTTAATAATAAATTGCTGCCTGAAAGTTGGACGCAGCATTTATTATTAAAAAAATTTAATTTTTAATAATAAAATGCTGCCCGAAAGTTAGACGCAGCATTTATTATTAAAAAAATTTAATTTTTAATAATAAAATGCCGCCCGAAAGTCGGACATAGCATTTATTATTAAAAAATTAATTTTTATTAATTTTTAATAACAAAATGCCGTCCTGAAAGTCAGAGGTAG